TATATATATAGTTTTGATATATAAAATCCTATGAAAACTTACCATTGTGAATGTCCTTGGTTTTCCGTGTGTTCTCCAGCCCTTGTTTCAAGCTTGCATCGCATTCTGAAGTGGAGACTTGATCCTCTTTGCATTTTATAACCTGGTCGTGGTGAGCRCTGGCCTCCATCTGAGCTGTCTCAGGTTGAACAGTGTCGACTTCCATTAAGAGGAGGAACAGACACTCTGCTGCTGGTCCTTTTCCWATGAAAACTTATAAATCCATCTTCAGAGGAGGCAGGCTACATGGGAGRGTTGTCTGTGTCCAAGAGAGGCTTAAATTCTAATCATAGAGGAAAATAAAGTGATGAACATTTAAATAAATTACCGGCAAGCTTAAACATTCCTCCACGAGTTCTGCCGTACTGAAACGCAGTTTTTGTTTTACAACACATTATGTTTTAACCTGGAGCGAGTCCAGAGCTGACAAACTGACTCGGCAGTGAAGTGGATTGTGTCGCTTTAAGTATAGCTCAAATTGGATTAACGTTGTGTTTAAAGACAAACACATTAACAAGACAGGGAAATATTTTTACATAGACCTGACAATCAATGACAGCTGTATCATGAGAGTGCTGTCATGGCTGGAACATCATTACTTTGCTAACCTTTGAGCAGTGTTGATAAATTACCTTTTCGGGTCTAACAACAGCCAGTAGTCAAATAATTAATTTATATGCAAATAAATGTCCTGCATTAACTTGGTCTTGTTGATTACTCGGTCCACATACTAGTCAATGACAAGATGACAGACCTGACTGAAGGTGGCCGAAATAGCGATGCTAACAACATAGCTAAGCTAAAACTGCTAGCAGTAGTTAGCTAAAATCAACAACGCTATTAGAAAGGTGATTGTTTTACAATATTTCAAGCAATTCAACAAATTAACCACTGTCACAAATTAAGGTTACAACACCAGAGAGTAAATTACAAGATGACAGTTTTGCTAAATATTACACTATAAATGCTTACCTTTTCTACGAGATTCGCCTATTTTACTACGTGGCTGTTTAGTTTCCGTTCTCTCATACGTCCGACTAGAAACAGAGACCGAGAAATAAAGACTTCAACTAAAAGCTTTGTCACTCCTCCTCTGGTGAAAAATGTAGTAATTCAGTAGTTAAGATATTAAAATACAAAATTAACCAATAATCAATTAATATAATACAAAACATAAAATAATCTACTTGAATAATAATATTGCAGCAGTTCCTATAATAAGAATAACCCATCGGTTTGTCCACACGTGCATTTATGCGTACTTTGGCGCCATCTAGTGGTAATTAAAAAAACAACTATCAGAAATAGACCTGCAGTAAATTTCCCTATGTTTAGATAAGTATGAGAAAACAATATAGAAAACATAGTTTAGCTGACGAGATAATGATGAATTAAAGTGTGTGAATTTACATTATTCAATATATACTATATTGTGGGGGTTTTATGGTGTAGGAAATAATAATACTTTTTAAYTTAACTAACTAATTAACAATTTTGTATAAATTTCTTTCTTTTATTGTACTAAAATAAAACCCTGTTCGACGGGAGGGTGGCTGAGTCAGAGGTGGGGGGTGGGGGTGGGGGGTCTGGTCCTGTTGGTCCATGAACGATGGAGGCGCGCTCCCGACGCCTCAGGTGAATGAGGGAAAAGGGACCGTGGTCGGTGCGTCGCATTGAAGAAGGATCAACGGAAGGAAAATGACTTGTGTTACGTCGCTTGGGGCGCAAGTTTCAATGACAGCATGTCTTCTCTTCGTCATGAGATGTGCTGCACAGAAAGTAAGTTTTACATTTGTTTGCTGCAAAATAATAAATTCCCAAGCTCACTTCACTACTCCAGCGTTGTTGTGTCGTGAACGCAACGAGGTGACGAACTCCGTCCGTAAAACTTTAAAATCAGCAGTGGTTTGCTTCTAAACTAAAATTTAGCCTCTGTGAAACTTGAACTAGTTTATACGAGAAAACTTACTAACCACCATTCTTTTCGGCGTAAATTTKGTCAACATTACTGCTATTGTATTAGCTGCATATTGAAATGAAATGTAAATATAGTCCAGAGCAGACGATTAGCAAATAGTGCTCATTTTTTTTATTGCTTCTTGTTTGACAACGTAACCATCTAACCATTTAAACCAGTTTAAAAAACTGGTTTGCAAAAATAAAAGTGAGATTTGCCTATGTTGTAGCTGACAAAGCAGAAAAATTATATGTATTTCAATAAGTTGACAGTATTCTGGCATGTGCAGCCAGCTTATGATTGATCTGTTCACAGCGTTTTGCCAGAATGTTAGCATATTTGGTGCAGACATCCTGATAGACTTTWAAAAAAGTATAAATTCATCTTCAGTTACAAGTTCATTGCAAAATAGGGTATTCCATGTGTGGCCATAGACAGTTTCAAATATGTGACATTGGTGGAAACTCTTGATTTGCTTTCTCACAAATGTAATAGTGTATATGCTCTAGGCTTTTTATATTATTATTATTTTGGTGATGGCATGTTTTGATCTCGCAGTTCACAGGGTGGTTGGCATGCACAGTCCAGGCAGCTGAAATGACAACCACATTGGGAGCATGTTTACCTCATGTTTTGCTTTTCATACCCACTGAGTATGTAATCCCAGGTCTTGCCTTAGACATGGGAGGAGTACATGACTAAATGCTGGGCTGGAGTAAACAGGGGGTTGGTTTTAGGTCATATCTTTTCTATTTGGTGTGTTAGTGTTTCGTGTGATTGAATCTCACAGCTGTCTGTGGGTGATTATTAACTGATATGTATGTAACTGTAATGATTGAATAGCATGAGATGTCACTGATGTATGAAAGTAGACAGGTGCACCAGAATGATAACTGGATGGCTGTTGTTGTTAGGAAAAATACACTGCCTAAAAAAATCACACCCTTTTATTGCTTTTTAAAAATAATTTATTGTCCATATACAGACACACACACACAAAAGAGATTGAACACCTGGAGAGAAACTAAATAAAATAACTGTTGCCTGGGTCTCTCAGCAGTTTAAGCTTTATAGGAGAACAGCAGAGAGGAAGCGATTGTAAAAGAAAATTAATTAAATCTCTAATAGAACAAACAGCATGTGGAAGACTTGATGGTAAAGTGTAAGAAAGTACTGTAACCTGATTAGACCAAATTGAAGCTTATAGGCCACCAGACTGTGTTTGTTTGGCAGAAACTAAATACCACAAACTCACCATCCCCACTGTGAAGCATGGTGGCAGCAGCATCATGCTACGGGAATGCTTCTCAGGAGCCGGTTCTGGAAGTCTCGTAAAGACAGAGGGTAAAATGAATGCTGCAAAATACAGGGAAATMCTAGAGGAAAAATCTTTGCTGTCTGCAAAAGAATTACAGCTTAGCAGATGATTTATTTTCCTGTTGGACAGTGACACAAAGCACACAGCTAAAACTACACAGAAATGATTTGAAGCCAACAAGGTGAATACTATGGAGTGGTCGAGTCAAAACCTAGACCTRTATCTAACAGATCATTTGTGGCTTGGCTTGAAAGAGTGGTTCATGCCCGACCCCCAGAAAAAACTGACAGATTGGGCAGTTTTTGTAAAGAAGAAAGGAGTAAACTTCCAGTGTCCAGATGAACAGGACTCCTGGAGAGTTATCCACACAGACTCAGTGCTGCAGTTGCAGTCAAAGGGGTTTATTCTAAATACTGAAGTGAAGGAGGTGAATATTCATGCAGTCACTTATTTTATATTACAGGTTTTTATTTAAATTGTATTATTCTTTTGAAAATTGATTTCACTTTGATACTGAAGCAGGCTTTCAAAAATGCCAGTTTCTATTAACCATGACTGATTAATGACAACAATAAAAGCTTAAATAGTAACTTAATCCAAAATCATGTAAATTTGGCATTAAGGGTATTATCTTTATTTTGGTGCTAATTTTGACATTTTCTGATAATTAGTTTAATTCTGCAATGTTTTGTCTAAACCCGTTTAGTGCTGCCCTCTATRGGTTGAACTGTGGCKACTGCAGTTGAATTTTCCTGTTGGTTAAAACAGTGCAGCTTGCTACATGCTGTAAGGTATATAAGCCTCGCTCTCAGAAACACGCCTCTGCAGCAAGTCAGGAGTTGGAAGTCAGCACCGGCTTCATGCATCACTGAGTCAGCACCTTGAGCCAGCAGCTCGATTCGATAAAGGCTAGGGTTGGGCATAATCGTATCGTGTGCAATTAATCGTCAGAAAAACATTAATCGATTATTTTTGGGCACTTGATGATTAATACAATTAATGCCACCTGGCAGACTGACGGGGGATTACTCCGGTCAGTCCGCTCGGTGCTCCTCTCCGCTTCAAATAAGACGAACATTAAAAATAAAGTTCTGTAATTTATTTATCTATCAACACAGTTTAAAATATGATGTACAGCCTGAAATCTGTAATTTTCACACAATTTGGAACAATTTCTTACAAAGAGCAAATCTTTCCCACGAAATTGGTCATGTGACTACAAAATAAGGGTGTCCAGGGACTCCAGGGGATTAATAGTCAAATTAATCGTTATCGGCTAAATATCACAATTAATCTTGATAAAAWTTTTTGCCAATATTGCTCAACCCTAATAAAGGCTGGTTTATACTTCGAGTCGCATGTCTTGGTCCCCCTGCAGAGTGACAAAAAATTATATAACTTCCATCTGCTCTCCCACTGCTATCCCCCGGTGACAGCTGTCGTGTGCATTGCCCCTTCAGACCTCTGTGATGCAGACCTTGCTGCTCACAGCGTGTGATTGGTCAAAMCTTTGTGGGCGTGTTTGTTCATGAGGAGCAACACCGCCCAGTGGAGCAGGACTATGCTGCTGAAATATATAAATGGACCAATAAATAAATAAATACACTTAAAGCACACCAATTATTTTGAAAATGGAGAACTTCATGTTTTATAGACTTTACTATTTATTTTCCAACTTAGTTCCAACAAATTATATATTAAAGCATATAGTTTAAATTTGACTGTTTTTAAATTCTATTTTTGTTTGTTTTTTCTTTTACTTGGATCCTGCTCCTTCCTGTATGTTAACCAATAGTGGAGGAGCTGAGCCATGAAGGGTCCGCCCACCTTTTTTGCACAATGCGGCAAAACAGAAGACAGAAAAATGTAAAAACAACACTTGGAAATAAAAAAAATCATGGGTAAAAACTATTACAAAGTTCTACAAGTAAAAAAAGGAACAATAAATATAT